GATATGGATGCGACGATACTTTCCTCCATCTCTCACACCTGGACCAAGCAGATCTGGGTGTGTTCAAAGTGAAGGGGAAAGGGACAGCAGCAGGCCCTTCTGCTTCATCGACACTGACTATTCCAGCACGCCAGCCCACATTGGATGATGAAGGACAATCAAAAACAGGATGTTGCTGTCTACCTTGGCCACCAACCATAGCAGGGCTCGCCGCCTCTCCGCCTCTGCACCTCATGCATACCACTCTCACTCGTCTATCCATACAACACCTGCGATTGCGATTTTTTTCGGCTACGCTTGCATGCGCTGCAGATCAAGCGGAATGCCCGCCCTTTGACCCCAGCCGTCGAGCCAATTATCCCAACCTATTATTGGCACGTTGATGCGTTGGCAGTGTGGCAGTTTCCTGGATGTTCTTACGGATACTCGCTTGGCTCCTTCGAATCCTCTCCCCCGCTATGAGCCTCTGTTATGCAGCCGATGGTAGCAACATCAGATGACCTGTGGGCATCTTTGTCTGATGACTACAACTCCCCCGGCTGTTCTCAAGTAGACTTCAGATAAGTGTCGCAGTACGAGACGAAGAGGATGTGGCTGGCAACGTCAGCATTCCCTAACGGTCAAGAGCTTAATCGTTGTAACCGCTGGCGAGTATTCACAAAGAGACAATCCGGACCAGAACATTCATAGGCGGCATTCTCCTCCAGTTCGGCATAGGCGCGTCTCTAATCCACGCGGCGGGATCTCCTCGTCCACTCGGCAAGTCCACCATGTTGGTCGCTGAGCAAATTACCCCGCGGTCTGCTAGTTACAGCCAACGATGAAGATCATGCTCTCAGGCAGCGCAAAGCTCATCAAGCCTCATTCGGCACTTGTGCCCGCAAATGGCCACAGGAGAACAGGACTGTGCACAAGATGCTACGATCAAACCTGACCGGCTCCCTCCGCCCGAAGTAGCCGGCAATAGAGTCAGGCAATAGACTGGCACGATGACCCATGAAACAGTTCAAGCCTGTGCCAGGGCGATCCCCGCGAAGACCCCGAGATGTCTCCAACGAGCCTGGATCAGGGTGGTTCCTGCCAACTATTTCTCCGACTTGGACGGGAAGTGGCTCGTTTTGCTCAGGTACATGTTGACCAACAGGCGCCAACATGAGCCATGCCGAATTTGTATGTGGTATCGTCGTATTATTTTTCTGCAAAAGCCCCAACGGACGTTGGAATCAGGGCCGAGCGCACATGTCAAGTCGGCTGCTTTTGCTGCTTCCAGCCTCCGCGGGAACCTTGGATTCGACACTAGCGCCAAACGAGCATGCCAGCGTGAAAATCGAGGCAGAAGTCAAGAGACTTGTATTCACGATGTCAATGCGAATGGTATGATGTTGGTTCAGCGGATTCCACTGCCTCCCATGTCAGTTGCGCGGATAGGATAACGTCCGAAGTCCATTGATGTCCAAACTCTATCCCGGGCCGTGGCGTGCCCGTAAACAGAGACTCCTTCATGGAGCCAGCCCATCGTCGTCAGCCAGTCAGCCCCTCATGCACCATTCTCGTTCGAAACACATGAGAACGGACGACTGCGGGCAATCATATTCCTGAGGATTTAGCGAGAGAGCAGCCGCGAGGCTTCAGCAGCGTGAACTCATCGCATGTTGCCCATACAAGGCGCAGAAGCTCCAGAACTCACGAGGTTTAAGTTGCTGTGCAGCTAATCAGCGCAGAATATCTCCCGGCGACTTCAGAATAATATATCAAGGCGGTCCGGACAGGGCGAATTCAAAATGACGGTGAATCATTCTCGTCTAAAGGCGACGTCAGCGCCTACACACCCAAACTCAGGCTCGTCGGCGACAGCGACGCCCTCTTTCGGCTCCACAGGCGGCAGCTGCAGCGGCAGCATGCCATGCTGGTCACTTCAAGCGGACGGTTCCTTCGGCGATCCAGAGTCGTGCTCGATCTGGGAAGGGAGATGCCCACGCATGTGTGGTAGTGCTCAACCCGTGTCTGACGGACGGGAACTCATCAATCTGACGTTTTAATCTTTCCGTGTCAATTTTTAGCCTCGCGCGTTACAACATGCAACACCAACCTACGTACGGACTGGCTTGCGAGCCAGAGGCGGCACCCAATTACGCATCTGTGCAATACAAAGATGCACTCAGGGCGAAGCCGTCTTTCTTGCTATTCAACTGCAATTTGCAACTTAGCAGTTTCTTCGGAGCCCTTTCAGACGAGGCACTCGCTCTCAGTCCACGATGCGGCCCGGGGGCTAGAAAGGACTACGCGTACACGTTCGAGGTATCCAGGAGCTACCCTGCGCGCTCTATGGTGTCGACAATTTAAAGTGCCTGACAAGCCGCACGAGCACGATCGCACTGCAAGATGAGTTTGTGAAGTTCCTCATGATGGCGCAAGGACAACAGGCTGGCCTGAAGTTTTCGTTTAAAGACCGGGGAGACGTTGATTCGTCACCTGTTTGCAAGGGACGGCCAGCTTTCAGCGTCGTATTACTTGCGAGCCGACCACCTACTCTAGAGCGCCTACGCGCAGCAACTCGAGCCCCCACATCTTCTGCAAGGTCGGCCGGCGTTGTCACGGATTTGGTGATGATTCTTCGGAGGTGATAAGAGCCTGCAATATAGCGGATCCCACAGCCGTTCCTTTTGTCCTCGATCCATCGACAAACTCCAGATGCAGGAGAGCCGGTGCCAGCGAATCAAGGCACCGAATACCCCATCCGCCCACGGCACCTGATCTCGTGATGCTGTCTCGGCGGTTAGGCGAGCAGTAAGGGTACCGAATCGTTTTCCGCCGCCATTGAGAGCTCCTGGCAACAACATAATAGCATCAATTTTGTGCGCGGTGTCTGCCAAAATGGAAGAGCGACACACATATACTGCATAGTACACGAGATGAGAGCTGTTCTAGAGTCTTTGCAGCGTTCGGCGACGTCGGCGGCGGAAAACGATTCTCGACCTCGTGTGATTTAGAGTTTCGCATTCCGGGGGTTTTTGTCAGTCCCCGTTTTCCATGGGCTTTACTCAATATTACCTTTCGTTGTAGGCAAAAGAAACTCCGCCAGCTCCCGCCCACACCACCAAACCGTCACTCCTCCAGGTCAACTAGTCGGTCGGCAACGACAGCTTACAGGGAACATCGATCGCTAGCTGCAGTTCATGGCTTGGTCTGATACCACCACCACCTTAACTACCCGCGCGTAAGCAGTGCACTGGTTCCCCAAAAGAGAGAACGTGCTGGTTGTCAATTTGGAGTAGGAGGCCGGGATTTGCATACATTGCTTTTCGACAGGTTGGCCTTTAATTCGGCCTCGACTATCGTCAGGCTCGCACTCTATGTTTCGTGGGACAGCATGATCGACTGTCCTGCGCGTCTCGGACCCGCCATAACAATGGCAGGAGAACCGGCCAAACCCACCAGACGCCGTTTCTCATCCTCTTGTTTTTTCTTCTCTCCCCTGGCCATCACGCTACGCGCAAACGACGGCCGGTGCCAAGGGCTCGCGGAAGCAGCGCTCCCAGATCCGGGGTGGAGAGACGGCTCCTTTGCGGCTTAGGGCTTGCATGGCTGCCATGTGGAATGACTGACTAGCTATGGAGACCAGCTCCGGCCTTTTACGAAGTATTTCCTGAACAAAGGCCGACAATAGAAGGGGGGCTGATTATCGCCTGGGAGCGGTTTCTGCCACTATGGCAGCACCGACTTCAGCGCTGGGGGTCTTTTGAGTCTCTGCTGGTCGGTCCCTCCACCTCATCCCGGAGGAGAAGCCCGCACGTTGAGTTGCAGTGAACCGCCCGAACGATGAGATGTGAGGAAATTCGTTCTTTCCCCCAGCGGCGCCGTTTTCAGGCCGTCAGGGATAAGCCGACTTGCGAAACGGAGGGGCCTGGCTGTACTGATCGGAAATGCCATGTGGCTCGTGCCGGGGCTACCCATGAGAGACCTTCGAGACGATTCTCTGTCGATATTATTTCAAAGTGCCTCTCCACTGGACGCCCAGATCATTGGGCGCATTCCTGATCAGACCGGCGAGCAATTCGACAGGAGGTTGGAGCTCGAAAATGAGGCCCTCGGTACGGACGGCAAATAGCAAAGACCGCCGTCATGCCGAACAGGGGCTTACGCAGCATGTAGATGGTACACGTAGAGTGTCGGTCACGGGAATGGCGGGCGTGTCAGGAACCTGTCGAGAACCAACAGCACCAACACGAACAATCATCCTGCGCGTTGCAGGTCTCCGCGCGGGCTCAGCAAGGCCAGCAAATGCGCACATGCCTAAGGACATCTCTGACTTCCATCCCGCGCGCAGTGCCGCAGATCCATCGGACGCAATCATGTCCCAAAGAGGGAGACTGCCGGGCCTGCTCGCCAGCCTGCCTCTGTTGCCCGCTTACCTACGCCAGGCCCGGGGTCAAATTGACGAGAATCCTTGCATCAACAGACCTCGGGCGATGTGGGCAATATGGACGATGTATCCCTTTTCGATCGACCGGTGAGGGGGCGTAAGCACGGCACGGCTCGGCCAGCTTTTTGGTTCACACACTTGTCAGCCGCCAGGCTTCGGTCTCTGTTTTCTGTGTGCTTTTCTTGCACAGACACCCGGGAGGTGCCTCTCAGTGGAAACCCGCGCCGCGCCAACCTCCCCGTGATGCTTGCCGTCTGTATGTCTGTGTCGGGAGAGCCCCAATTGTACGATGATGGACTGAGAACATGTGAGACGAGCACAGTATGATGAAAGCTATCCTAGACTCTGCGACATTTTTTGCTGCTCGCCGTAAGACTGTGACCGCCTACCCGCCGCATCTCGTTGGTGTGTATGCGCATGTGTGTTTGTGTTGGTAGATCCCCAAGCCAAGCAAAAATCCCCTCCTCTCTCCCCTCCCCCCGGCTGCACACACACCGCGGCCCTCAACGAACTGCCCCCTTACTCACACGCAGACAATCACCCCCGACCCCCGGCCACCGCCTCTTCCATCCTTCCTTCACGGCCACGTCTCAATCTTTTCCCACCCGTTGGTCCTCTCCGCACCCTCCTGCGCCTCCTCCGGCTCGTCCGCGCCGACAAGCCGGTACAGCCAGCGGCGCGGGTCCGCCGAGTCGCTCAGGTCCGCGCGGTCGACCTCTGTGGGCACGATGACGACGACGCGGAAGTTGTCGCGGGCGACGGGGTCCTGCAGGTCCTCGACCTTCTGGCCGAGCTTGTGGTCCGCGTCGGGCGGCTTCGCGGTGCGCGGGGTGCCGGGTTCCGGGTTGCGGAAGGTGCCGCGCATCATGGGGGAGAGGTTGCCGAAGTGCGCGGTGACCTCGCGGGCGAAGCTCCATTCTTCCTCGTCTTGTGAGATGTTGGAGCGGACCTCGGAGGGGAAGAGGGTGTCGTCGGAGGTCTGCCGGCGCTGGACCTCGGAGGAGGGCAGGCGGCGCATGCGGGCGAGGAGCTTCTCGCGCACAGAGGCTGCCGGAGAGGAGGGGGAGGAGATGTCCGGGCCGAGGATGTAGGCGTCGCCGCGGATGCGCCACTGGACGCGGGCGGGGGTCCAGAAGACGGCCTCGACGGGGGCGCCGCCGCCGGAGGATGCGGGGTCGGAGCCGGAGCCGGAGGAGGGGTCGCTGTTGAAGAGGTCCGGGACCTTGGCCATGCGCGCGTCGGTTGTGAGGGTGAGCAGGTCGCTCTCGTAGAGGGGCGGGTTGAGGGCGGCCGGGTTCTTGGGGTTGACGGGGAGAGAGGCCCAGAGGCCTCTGTAGATGACGGTGCGGGTGCGCGGGGAGAGGGAGGATGAGGAGGTGGATGTGGGAGTTGGGCCAGCGTGGAGGGTTGCGAGGTAGAATTCTGGGGAGGACATTTCGGTGACGTTTTTGAGGAAGGCGGCGCGCCAGGGCGCTGGGCCGGTGCTGGAGGAGGGTGAGGAGGACATGGTGCGTGATGTGAGGTGGTGGGATAGTTGTGCGATGCGGCGGGTTAGAGGCATGCGTGGTGTCTCTTCAATTGACGGTGATGGTGATGTGTGAGGATGAAGATGAAGGGAGGTTGTGGAAGCGGGAGAGTTTTTGGTTTTGCGTGACATTTTTTTTGTTTTGTTTTGTTTTAGGCGGCGCATTCGTCTATGATTCATCATCGGACCCGGTTTAGGGCGTCATGATGGCCGCCGCGACGGTGAGTGAGGCGGTTTGCTTGTTGCGCATTGGTGATTTGCATCGTACCTTGAGAAGCCCATCGGGTTTGATTTCTTTTTTCTGGTGGATGGCAATGCAGTGGGCGAATTCGAAGGTGAGTTATGTGAAGGTCGCAGTAACGGAGACTAGTGTGATGACGTCGGTGAAGCTTGAGATGAGCCCGTCATTCTCGCCATTTCTGGACCACGCAGGACAGCGACTCGTCAATATCTATAGTAGGATCATTTCCTCGCCTGAATAATATTCTTACATCGATGTCGCTACACATTTGCGGCGCTTCACTTCGTCCAGACGGTGAACCTGGGCAAGCTTGCTCGTCGTCTGTTGCTTGGGCGGTACGAGAAGCAAATTTCAAGATAACATCAAGACAGTCACAAAGAACTTAGCCTCAAGTCACTTTTGATTCAATACGGGTCTCTCTGCTTTCGTTTATGTGTTTCTTGCTTGTTTGCAATGAGAAACTGGGAAAGTCGGCCTCATCAGTCAGACACGACCGGGCTAGATGTTTCTCACGACTGGGCGACGGGGAGAGCCATGGCACTTCACACTGAAGGGCGTCTTTCTTCACGTTCAAAGGTTCTAATAATTGATTTCATGTAGAACTTTGTAGGCTCTTAAACGCAAGTGATGATGAGCGCAAAGCCGTTGGCGACCGATGTCATATCGATTCAGTGCTCATAGCCTCCTGAGGTAGCTAGCCACGCTGTGAAGAATTTGTTGACAGGTGCGCGAACACGCTCACTTTGGCCGCCACTTAGAGTAAATCGCCCTGAATATAATGATTGAATCTTCTATATCTCTGCTTCTGCTATCTTCGTGTCCGTGTCTACCGTCGTCTTCTTTGCCGCCGTGTTCTCCGCCATCGTCTTCACTGTTGTAGTCTCTGCCAATATCGTCTCTGCTATCTTGGTCTCTGCTGCCAATCTTATATTGAGTAATGGGGACATTTGTAACGACAAGAAAGTGAGGGCCAGACGTTTTCACTTCGCTACTTGTAAGCTATGAGCAATGAATGCACAAGTTGGGCCACACTGAAGTCAAAAGCAACCCTACAGTATACTCTAAGAGTTCATGCAAGTGGAAATGAAAGCGAACAACCCCGCCTTTGACTTTGAACAGGCATCCGGTCAATTATCTCGACAAAAGATCTTCACGTCAAGGCGGCCAAATCGGAGGCTGCCAAACCGAAAGACTCCAGCCCACCGGGTGGGCTACTAAATCATATATCCTGGGTCTGTACCAGCTCCTACACCGACCCTTCTTCGTTCCTGTCTGGCGGCCCCTGATGTTCACTAGAGAGGGTCCATCTAATTGGAGGAGCTCTCGAGGTTCTCGATATCGGCGCTCTTACCGGTCATGATTGCTTCAAATTCCTGAGGTTTAAGGTAGAGCGAGGCTACGATTTTCCAGAGAATCGGATACAAACCCCGAGCGAGGGACTCAAGTATATTCTTGACTGTTAGTCTGAGTTGCAAAGATAATTCGTACGGCTAACATCGTTCGCCCTAGCGAGGATCAGACGTTGCAGCTGGTTGTCGACTTGACCATTCGACTGGAAGCCCTGCCCACAGCGGCTCCTGTCTACTGCCCATGTGAAAGCGACTCAGGCCAGCTCAAGGTCATCGTCTATCAATATCAAGCAGCAAGCCGTGATAAGTCCACATCGCAGATGACGCGGGCTTTTGGCAACGACGATGGCATTGCGGAAGCTACCGTCGACGCTGATGTCAAATCATACTCAAAGGCAAGACTGCCACCGTGAGATACTATACTCTTCTTAGATATGAGACACCTGATTCTAGGTCTTCGCATACCGACACTCTTAACTACTGAGTTGGCCCCGGCGCGGCGGCAGCGTTTTGAGATCATAACTATGGCCCACTCGCAGAGGTACACTCCGTTGCGTTAATAGCGTCCACCCCCCCTTTTTTTCCCTGCTTATGCAAAAACATGAAAAAAAGCTAATTTTACACTATAATATGTATTTCTCTATATCATATATAAAACGTATTAAAGTTATTACTAATATTTTAATTACTATTAATTACTATAGTCCTAATAGTATTTAAATATATAACTATATAATAGAGATATAAGGTGTGTATTTTATATTTCTATAGTAGTTAATCTACTTATTAAAGTATTATTAACTTAGTTAGTTACTTTATCTTTATACTATTTAACTAATAAAAAGTCTATTTTTATTATAAAAGATTAAAATAATATTTATTAAAGAATAGAAAAAGAGACCTACTATATAACTTTATATATTTACTTAGTATATAGTTTATATAGCTCTAAGTAATATATAAGTATACTAAGAAGCTTAATATAGTTCTTTAGAGTAAATACTTTAGTAGTTAATAAAATTAATAAATCTCTTAATAGCTTAGCTTATTTATAATATTAAGTAAAAGTTTACTACTATATAGATTATACTTTATTATTTATAGTTTACTATTAGTTAGTATATATCTATAGTTTATTATATTAAATATATTAAAAAAGATATTAAGTAATAATAATAATATAATAGCGCTTAGAATATTAAATTTATAGCTATTAATAATTATAATAATATTATTATTTAAAGACTAAAAAACTTATAAGCTAATAAGTATTATTAGCTATACTAAATAAATAATTTAATAATATAGATTATAATATAATATTACTAGTAAAGTATAAAGATATAAGAGGTACTACTAAAGTTAATAAAAGATAGAAATATAGTATTATATAGAGTTTCTTAAACTACTATAGTATTATAGTAATCTATTTCTTAAAGAGATATAAGATTTTTTATATAAAACTTTTAAGATTTAGATTAGTTATTTTATAATTAGTTAATAGTTAAACTTAATTAGTTAGATAAATAAGAAGTTTAAGATTATTACTACTTAGTAAAGTAATAACTTATAATATAAATATTTATACTATATATAATAATATTATTCTAACTAATTAGTATTTATTAATAAATCTAGCGTTAATAAAAATATTAAGATATAGAGGACTAAATAGGTACTAAAAAGGTTTACTACGTTTTAAATTATAGAGATTAATTAGTTTTAAAACTTTTATATATAAATCTTATTAACCTTTATATTAAGTAATATCTTATATTTAACTATATATTATAATATAACTAATAATAATAAGTTCTTTTATTAGCTATAAGAGTACTTTATTCTAAAGTATAAGCGTTTTCTAGAACTAAACTTTATTATTATTATAGATAACTTCTCCTACTATTATATATCTTAAATTAAGATATTATACTAAGTATTAAGTATCTATTTTAAGTTTCTATCTCTATATTTACTAAACTTTAACTTTATTAAAGAGTATTTTAGTAATTTAAAGTAATATATTAAGAAGATATATTTAAAGTAGAATAATAATAAGAATAATATTTAAGATTTTATAGAATATCTATATAATTATATTATAGAGATTAAGTATTATCTACCTTAGATTAAAGGCTATTTCTGCTATTTATTTATTAACTTTAATAGAATAGAGTATATATTTAATAATATTAAACTATAAAAAGGAAGATAAGCTATAAATATTAAATATTAATAAGTAATCTAAATTTTTATTATATATTTATATATAATAAATCTTAATTATATTATTATATAATAGTTAATTATTAAATCTATAATTATAGCTAATAAGATTACTAAAAGGTTAGCTATAAGTATATTAGAATATAAAAAATATATTATTATTTATTATTTTTATTAATAGCTATATATATATATTAATTTTACCTATATAATAGCTAAAATATATTATTAATATTTATAATAATAATTTATAATAATAATATATTATTATAATTAGAGACTTTAACTATAATTAGAGACTTTAACTACTCCTAATTAATATTAAAATAGACTAAAGTATATTATTTATAGATCTAAAATAATAGTAATTCTATTACTTTTATATATATAGAGTAGTAATATTAAATCTATAGCTATAAATAGACTTTTCTATAGTTAAATATATTATATAAAAAATTATATATATAGTTAAACTTTATATTACTCTTACTATATTACTTTTCTTTATTATCTTCTTCTAAGTAATATATCTCTATTAATAATATATTACTTAAGATTTTAATCTAATTATCCTTATTACTTTACTTAACTTTATTTTATTTAATTTATAACTATATAAGTAATATCTATAATACTAATAATAGTAGTAATAAAATAAAACTAAAGAGTTTTAAAACGCTTATAAAGTTAGCTATATTTAATAGTAAATAGCTCTATATATACTTACTATATTAACTAATTTTAACTAATATATTATAGATCTCTTACTTAATAGATTAATATAATATTAAAGCGTTAATATATTAAGATAATTTTAACTTATTTAAAACTAATACTATAAAGTTTTTAACTAGTACTACTATTATCCCTCTTAATAATCTAATATATATTCTTATATAAATATCTCCCTCTAACTCTTAATAGTTTAAATAAAGTTTAGAGTAAGATATTATATTAAAGAGGGTATTAAACTACTCTCTATAATAAGCGTTATTATCTATAAAGGATTTAATTAAATTCTTAATATTTTTAGTAAGATATTAAGTAAAACCTTATTTAGTAAACTAAATATCTAGTAACTTATAAATTACTTA